TCTTCTTTTTTTCATATATATGCTGAACCTCTCAGCAAAGCCCACTGGCTCTACCTTGGTTTTGGAATTTGACCACAGCTCATCAACTCTAAGCACCATCATCAGCCCCCTGTTTTTGTGATAACCTCCAGTCAGGCCTCCCTGCTTCTATTTTTGAGCCACTTTGGTCTTTTCTACATTCAAAAGCTACAGGGAATCTTTTAAAACATAAGTCAGATCATGTCACACCTCTGTTCAAACTCTCCAATGCCTCCTCATCTCATTCAGTAAAATGTAAACCTATAAAGGCTGAAAAAGCCCTGCCCTGTCTAGCTGCCTTTACCTGACTATCTCCTACCACTTTCCCCTTTTGGCCTCCTGGCTACTCCTCAAACACACTCTTGCTTCAAGACCTTTGCATCTGCTTGTTCCTCTACCTAGTACATCTTCCCCAGCTCTCTTCCCAGCCTCCAGATCAACTCTCTGCTCACACGTTATCAGTAAACGGTTCCCTGACTGCCTTATTTAAAGTAACACTTGAGCCGGGTACTGGTGGCTCACGTCTATAATCCTAGCTACTCAGGAGGCCGAGATCAGGAGGATTGTGGTTCAAAGCCAGCCCAGAAAATAGTTCATGAGACCCTATCTCAAAAACAACCCATCATAAAAAAAGGGCTGGTGGAGTGACTCAAGGTGTAGGCCCTGAGTTCAAACCCCAGTACCACAAAATAAATAAATAAAGTGACACCTGCCCTTGCACTCCCTACCCATCTTGCCTTATTTTTCTTCATAACACTTATTGCCATCCAATATACTGTAAATTTTTCTTGTTTGCTTGTTGTCTGTCTCCTCCATTAGAATAAAAATTCTACAATAGTGGAAATATGTATCTGCTTTGTTTACTGTCGCTCCTCAGTGCCAAGAACAGTACCTGCACATAGGAGGCCCTCACTAACACATTTATGGAGTGAATGTGGCACAAATGCCTTGTTTATTATTATTTTATTGTTTTGCTCCTTCCTTCTGACTCTCAGGTTCTTTCCCAACAGGCACTCAAGGCAGATGGTACTGAAATTGAATTGAGACTTCTATGCCAGCTTTGCACTGTACTATTGTGCCACTTAGGATCTTGGCAGGAAGCAAATATATATTCAAAAAAGCTTAATGGAAAAGAATTTAGCGAAAGGATCACTTACAAAAGTAAGGACAGGGTTGTTGTAGGCAGCCACTGCTGCCAGATTGATGGCAGATTGATCAATCTGGTACCCGGCACCATGCATTCTTATTGCCTTAAAGAAGAAAGTATCAGCCCAGTGCCAGTGGCTCATGCCTGTAATCCTAGTTACTCGGGAGGCAGAGATCAGGAGGATCATGATTTGAAGCCAGTCCCAGGCAAATAGTTCAGATACCTTACCTCGAAAATATCTAACATTTAAAAAGGACTGGTGATGAAAAAAAGGGGGGAGTTCAAACACCAATACTGCCAAAACAAAAAACAAACCTAGTACCGCTAAGAAGTGTCATTCTGAGCCACCCACAGGTGTACGTAATAGGTGCACTCAAACATTTCCATCTCTCTAACCTTTGTAGTCCTTCCTTTACTTTGGTACTGAAAGTATAGTTCAACGACCAGCAGCATCGGCATCACTTAGAAGCTTGTTAAGCATGCTTAACCCCAGACCTACTGAATAGAATCTACAATTTTGTGAGACTCCCCCCTCCCAACTCCCAGGTAAATCATACATATATTAAAGGCCACTGTTGAATTCAGGCTTTTAGTAACCAACCCAACAGAATATTAACACCATTCTCAGGCAATCAGCTAATATAATACTATCCAAATCCTGGATGAGTGCACCTATCTCCATTAATTTATCTTCACTGGAACCCATGAGTCTCCCAAGTTGGCAAGTTCCTGCAAATCCCTCAGCATTTATGTGCTTGCTCTGGGAGCACAACTTGTACTTGGAGCATCTTACACTTTCCTGTCTAGAAAATGCTCAGATCAAACTCTCACTATGATGGGCCTGGAGGGTATGAGGGGTGGTCCTAGTGGGTCCTGAGGATAAAAGGCATGTTCTTTTCAGGGACTTATTAAAAACATTTTCTAATGGAAGAAAAGACTGGATCCTTCATAGTTTGCGAGGGAAAAAGAAATAGTGTTCTGCCAACAAGGAAGGTTGAGGGGGATTTGGAGGTCCAAAATTCTAAACTTTGTTCATCCCTGCTACAAAGCCTCCATCCTAAGTCTCAACATCCTGCTCTTTCCCATCAGTACCTTTCTTCTGACATAAGGGATATGGTAGGCTTGGACATTTTTCTGATGTTGCAACTGTACAGTTCATACAATCAGGTCTTGGGTTTGACCCTCAGCCATATTTGCCCCCTGGCCACATAAAATAAAGATTTCTTAAGACTTTCATAGAGATTATTTGGATCTCTACCCAACCCTGTCAGAAATACAGTCTTAACTGTCTTTTTTTAATGTAATTTTGCTAACACAATGAGAAACAGGTAACATATGCAATCAACATTTGCAAGAGACCCCAGGAAATAGATTCCTCAAGTGGAGTTCTAGGATTGGGTTGCTAATATATTTGATGAATCCATGGATGATCTTGCTGGGGAAAGAGGACACAGGAATTAGGAAGATGCAGAAGCATCAAAATCACTTAGAATATCACAGAGAGATAGAGGATGGAATATTGAAAGACAAGACATTTGGAGACAAAGCAGCTAAGGTGCTTCATTACTATGGCCAAAAGCAGAGCAAAGAAGGGCTCTGTAGGTCCAAACCCCAGGGAAAGTTTCCCTGTTCCTTGGGCCTAATGACTCATAGACCCAACAAATTTTAAGTTGTTTGTGGCAGATAATATTACTACAGGAACCCCAACAGGAGAATTATAGCAAAGACCCTTAGAGTATTGGAGTAAAGCCATGCCTCTTCTACTAACAATTATTTTTCTATTTACAGAGCAGTTCTTGATTTGCCACTAAGTTCCTGATCTGAAACTCAGACTATAGTTCATGCAGTCACTATACAACCTGTAGGTGTTATCTATTGCATACCATCTAGTTGAATGTGCAAAGCAGCATTCATCATTAAATGGACATTGTATATGAGAGACTAGACCTCAGAAGTTTCAAAGGACATGAGTAGAAGTATAGGAATATGGTCATAGCACAATTGGGAAACTGATTGACTCCCGATTGACTCCCCTCACACTTCCCCTTTCTCTGGTAACACTGGATAACGCAATTTGTTGAGGTTAGCCTTCTGGGAAACAAAGGAAGACAGAGAAGAATGGGAAAGAACAGGGTTGTGGAAAACAGAATAAACAAAATAAATGTAGGCAAAAGAATGGAAAGATGGGTGGATAGGTGAATTAATGGACAGATATCTGAACAGAAGGATAGAATAATAATGGTTAATATTTATTAACCATTGAGTGCTTGTATTATGTGCCAGCCTCTAAGCTAAAAAGGCTTTACTCAGAGTGAAATGAGTAAACCTCTTTTAATCCTAAGCAATAGATCTATTACTATTCTAATTTCACAGATCAGGACACCAGACACAGAGACTGGATAGCTTTCACCTGGCCACACAGCAGTAAGTGGTAGAATCTGAGTCCCAACCTCTGTACTGTGTACTATGTACTCTGTACTATAATCAACAGACAGATGGTACACTGGTAGTGTGGGGTGGTGGTAAACCTCACAACAAAAGACACCTGTGTTCACATCATGCCCCAGCACTTACTAACTGTATTACTAAGTGATCTGAACCTCATTTTCTTTAAATATAAAATTGAGATAATAATATGAAAATAATAAACAGTACTTCTCAATATTGTTGGGAAAGTTAAGCAAGGCCATAGTGGTAAAGTCCTTAATACAGAGCCTAGCACATAGAAGACAATCAGAAATACTATTGTTATAATTTATGGATGGTTAAAAAAAAAGATAAGTCAGAAACTTAGGGAGGAAACACTCCTCCCCCATCAAAAGAGGGTCCATAGCTTGGGTAGGGAGGGTTTGATGCCTTCTCTTCTGGACTTTTCATAAAGATGGGAAATTACTTCTTCCCTCCTCTATCTGTCAATTACTTGAAATTTGGAGATTTATCTGAATATGATCTGGCCAGCCCCTCTCCTTAGAAATCCCCTCTTGGTTCCCAGGATTGAAAGAAAGGAAAGATGAAGGGGGCTATTCCAGACCAGGCTTAACTCTAGCTGTTCCTATGACCTGGGCATTAGATTTGAGAAAATGGTGAGCAGGGAAAGGAGCAATGCTTGTGGAGCCAAGAAGTTGAATCCCAGAGGCCTGAGATGTGGGGTGGGGGTCCTAGTCCTCCTTACAAGGAACTTTCTCTTTCAGCTCTGTTTGTCCCAAGGGAGGGACTGGTCCCCAAATGGTGGATGACATGGAGGGGCCACCCAGGATCTCATGGTTGTTCTGAGGGCACCATTGAGACTTCATCACCAGCCTCACCAGTGAGGATTGGGGTGAACCTAGAGAAGCAGATTCACCTCTTCATTCTGGTCCCCCTACCCTGACCAAGACTTCTGAACCCAGCCCTATGGTTGACAATGCAAATGCCTCCAATGAGATGGGAACGCTGGAGCTGAAAGAGCAACAGCCCCCCCTCTTCATGGCCAGGCTACAGACTACTTAAGTTCTCAGAGATGAAGCCAAGGAAAGCAAAGAGTGGGGAAGCCAATGAGGGGGGAAGAGGGAGGGCAAGGACCGGTTCTGCCAGAAGGAGGGGTTAAAGGGGAAGCCTCAGCATGGGAAATGGAGGGGAATTTTTGGATAACAAAAGTAAAAGCTCTGGCTCATAAATAGGAGGCAACCACAGACTCACACTCCTAGATCTCCTCATACTCCGCTAGGACGCCTGTGTGCTTCCCATCCCTCTTCACACACCCAGTAGAGGCTCAGCCTTTCACGGATTCCGGCACACACTCAGAGATTTAGTCAGGCTCACACACTTGCTATCAGCCTGCCTCTGTTCACTCTCCATGGCACCCGGTGTGGCCCCACTACTGGCTCTCAGCCTGCTGGTTCTTTGGACCTCCTCAGGTAAAACAGAGGGGGTGGCCAAAATGGGAGTGGCAGTGAGTGGGGAAATGACTAGATCTCAGACTGCTGGATAATGGTCATGAGGGACATGGCAAGTTCAGAAGAATACTTAGGTCTTCATGTGTCAGTGAACCTGGCGGTTCCCTGTGCTTTGTGTGTGTGCCTGTTGGTATGCATATACTGTCACCCCTGAATTCCAATGTGCTCAACTCTTGCCATATCCTGCAGTCTGTGAATGCCCTTTCTGAAAGCTCTATGTCCAACTATTTCAGTTGCTTGAGCAGAAGGAGGAAAAAGGATATATTTGCTTCAGGAAGAGAGAATGGGAGATATTGGGGGCAGCACTAGTAGTCAAATAGTCCAAATATTTAGTAATTCAGTTCTTTTTCTCTCTCTCGCGCTCTGTCTTTCCCTCTCTCTCTCTCTCTCTCCCTCTGTGTGTGTGTGTGTGTGTGTGTGTGTTGTTGTTGTTGTTGTTGTTGCTGTCGTTTTTTGGTTTGTTAATTTTTTTGTTGTTAAGATAGGGTCTCTGTATGTTGTTCAGGCTGACCTTGAACTCCTGGGCTCAAGTGATCCTCTTGTCTCAGCCTCCCCAGTAACTTGGACTACAGAAGCCACTAGCCTGGCTATTAGTAATTCATAAAGCACTTATTACCAGTCTCTGTCCAGCCCTGTAACTGTTAACTTTTTTTTTTTTTGGGTGCTGGGGTAGGTGCCCTACCACTTGAGCCATAGTTTTAACTCTTTATTTGCTAAACCTTAGGGGAAGTTGAGAAGACCTGGGTGAGAAATTGGGGGGATCAGGGACACAGCAAGCATTTTCAGGGCTCAGAGCAATGGTCTTTGCTAAATATTTTAGAAGTGTTACAATATATTAATCAACCAGTAGGGCCAAATTGGTGCATACTGATGAATTCATATACACACAGGAGTCCTTAACCCTGTGAGGTTGGGGTTCTCCTCCTCACAGTCCCTATGTCCTATCTTTTCCCTATCTCAGCCCCAGCTCTGGGTGGTGCTAATGATGCAGAAGACTGCTGCCTGTCTGTGACCCAGCGCCCCATCCCTAGAAACATCGTGAAAGCCTTTCGCTACCTTCTCATCAAGGATGGCTGCAGGGTACCTGCTGTTGTGTGAGTAGTGGGAAGAGCGTCTAGCCTCATCCTCTCATCAGTCCCTGTTGGTACCCCTACTATCTTATTCCTCTTCTCCTGGTCAAGTCCAACTCCTCAAGAAAGTCCCGGAAACAGGTTCCCAGAAGCAGACCCCAGTCTCTGTCCTTCATATTAGAGCCTTCCAGGAAGCTGTGTTCACAGGCTCTATTCTGTCTGGCTTCTAACTCCAGGTTCACCACACTGAGGGGCCACCAGCTCTGTGCACCCCCAGACCAGCCCTGGGTAGAACGTATCATCTGGAGACTGAAGAAGTCCTCGGCCAAGGCAAGCCTGGCTCTCCCCAGCCCTACCTCCACCCTCTAAGCCAAGATTCTGTCCAAGATTCCAGCCTATGACCTCTCTTTTCCTTCCTCCCCCAGAGCAAGCGCCAAAGCAATTAATCCAGGATAGCCCAGAGGGGGCCCTGTGTCTTAGTGAATGAATGTGACTCACCCTGGCATTGGGAACCAAGGACCAGAAGGGAGCGTCAGGCCTCCTGCTGCTCTACACCAGACCTGACCCAGGCAGGCCAGGGCTGGAGTGTGAGTGTGAGTGCGAATGAGACGGTGAGTGTGGCAAGAACACCGCCTCTCCATGTCAAACTGCAGTGCTTCCAATAAAGCCACCTTGCCCTCACAGATCTGTCTGTTTGCTCTCTACCCTGGAGGACAAGAGTAGGAAGGGAGAAGAAGGGCAGGATCTATTTTCTACCCTGAGACCTGAGTAATCTCATTAACCTCCACCTAACATTCTGGTGCTCTCAGGTTCAGCCCCACAATTAGGGCCCTTTCTCATTTCTCCTCACACCCGTCTTTCCACATTCAGCCATAGTGAACTTGGGTCAGTTCCCTAAGCCAGCTAAGTCTCTTGGATCTACATGTCTGATGTACAGGAAGGTGTTCAAGGATCCAGGTTTCTCAGGCATCAAGTGTCAGTGGGAGGAAGGTAGAGAGCTCTACTGCCTAGAGGAAAGTAATCTCCCACCCACGCCATTCCCTCCAGCACACTCTTCTTCCCTCCCCTGCCCTAGGGTTTCCCATCTGGGTTTGGATGTTTCCTCCTCTGGGAAGCCTTCCCTAACCCCAGGCTGGGTTAGGTAGCTTCACTCCCTCCCAATTCCTGTCACAGCCCCCTGTACCTCCTCCCTCACAGCATTTATCATCCTGACCTATATTTGCTAGTTTGTCCACCTTCCTGGACAAGAATCATGTCTATTTTGGTTTCCAATGCACTGCCTGGCACTAGGTAGTCACTCAATAAATATTTGTTTAGAGAATGAATAAATATATGAGGAAAGGCTCAGTAACCATAGGTGAAGGCTTCATCTGTCCATTCTGTCCATACATACAAAATCTGACCTTCAGACCAGACCTCTTTCTCTCAGTCATTCTGAGCAAGCTCTAGTCCCATCTGAGCAATTCTGGGACTGCACCTGTGAGGGACAACTGACAGACATACCTGGCAGCCAGAGATCAGAAATTGGAGAGAGGCACACAGGGTAGAAGAAGGAGCAGAGACGCTCAGGAGGTTCAAGGAGGAATCCCACTATCACCTCTGCAGGGCACATGGGCTCCAGGGCTTGAGGGCAACACCAAGATCAGGGAAGACTCAGAGAAGGAGTCCCAGGTCTGGAGGACAAAAGTACTATGGCTCTTGGAACATCCCAAAGAGCTGCTCTGTAAGGAGTAAACTTCTTGTGCTTCAGGAATCTCCTGGGGAAGCTTGCTGGCCTCCAAACTGTGGCCTCTAAGGGCTGTCTAGTCAGGGTTGACAAGTCTGTGCTCCTGCAGTCAGGTCACAGCTAGGAGGCCAGATTGAGCATCCTTGCCTGAGAAGGTAAACCACCATTATATTATCTATACCTCAGCCAGTAACCAAGCCAGGCCTGGGCAAGCCTTGGAAGGGGAGCAGTGGCGAGGTGGCGAGGAGGTATGCCAAGCCCTTCCCACTGAGCTGAAAACTTAGCAGTCTCTTCCTCTTTTCTGCTCCCACAGGCAGGTGTTCAAAACCTCAGGTATCCCAGGTGTCAGAGTCACACAGAGTGGGAGGGATGAGGCTAGGTTTCAAGAATAGCTGCTATGACTTGAATGTTTGTCTCTGCTGCCTGGGAAAAATTACCCACCCAGTGATGCATCCATGCATCCATCCCCCCAGCTGTCCCTGCATTCATCAGACCTCCATCCATTCACCACCTGTCTACCCACTTCCCTCCTATCTATCCATCAAGCCAACCAGCCAGAGTGCTCTGCACCCAATGGGCAGAGAACAAACACATATGGGGTGGGGGATAAATTGCCTCAAATCTTCCTAAGGTCTCAGGGAAACCAAGATGAAGTCCATCTGCCTCACAAGCAGACACATACCCTCCCTCTGGACATTCAGAGGAACATACAGCTAGAATACAGGGGATCAGGGTGGGATCCCTGGCTAAGGTGCTACCAGGACACTACTTCCATGGACTACAACCAGTAGGTTCAAATCCCAGTCCCACCAAAAAAAAAAAAAGTGCAAGTCCTGATATGCCTGGATCTGTGGTCTCATGGTCCTATTCTGCCCCTATTCTGAATGACTCTGGGCAAGTTCCTTCACCATTCTGCCCCCCTTGGCCTCAGTTCTCCCCTCTGTCAGATGGCACGGAGGAGCTTGATTTTTGGGAGTCTTTCCAAAGGCTTGGCTCCTACATCTTTGAATCTCATACTAAACCCTCAGTATTTGCACAGGCTCCACCAAAGTCTGGCACATCCAGAAACTTTCCTGCTTTTTGGTTTCCAGGTCCCATCCTCTGGAAACAAAGGAGAGGCCTAGGCTCAGGAAGAGAGAAAATAAGCCGGATGTTGTAGTACATATCTGTAATCTCAGCTACTCCAGAGGTGGAGGCAGTACCATCACGAGTTTGAGGCCAGCCTGAGCAAAGTTAGCAAGGCTATATCTCAAAAACAAAATAAAAACAAAAGGTGGCATGACTTAAGTAGTAGAACACTTGCCTAGTACTTCAATCCCCAGTTCCACAAAAGAGAAAGAGGGAGGGAGGAAGGGAGGGAGGGAAAAAGAGACAGAGAGAGAGAGAGAGAGAGAGAGAGAGAGAAATCTAAGAGCTAGTGATGTGCTCTGGAAGCGTGGGAAATGAAGAAACTAGGGTAAGTCTGACAAAATGGACACCCCCACAGGGAGCAACATACAACCCTCCCCGTCTCATTATCCAGCCATTACTTTCCATCCTAATTGTTTCCCTTCCTCTGTTTCCCAATATCCAGCCATACCAACCCCTCCTGGGCACTAAACCTTATCCTCCATCTCCCTGACTGGCACATAAGCCCAGCAATCTGAGGCTTCCCTCCTCCTGCTTAAACATTCTCAGCACTGTGACTCCATCTAATCATCATCTGTTTCCCGTTTTTCAACAATTAACTGATGAGTGTTGCATCCTCATTTGTCCCAAGTTTTACTAACTCTCTGATAATGACAAGGCTGCTAGCTGTTGAGCAGCCAGCATGAATTCCTAGCCCCCCCAACCAGGATATGGAGGCCTTATTTCCTGCCTCTATATAGATACCTTCCTCCCTAAAGCACATATCACCTATTATAGGTTCAAGGCCACAGAGTTTCAGGATAATTGCCAACATTGCTCTGCAGTGGCTGGCACAGAATAAATCCCAAAACACATTTGATTAACAAAAAATCGGATGGAACATGGCCCTTTCTACCATGCCCACACACACACACCTGGAGCAAATCCAGTTCTCAAGACAGTTGGGACCATCTCTGTTGCGTGTTTGAGTGTTTGGTCAGAGCCAGCTCCATAAGGTTTTGATCATGTTTTTATCATCTCATGTTTGACTTCTCGGCAAGCTCCCACCCCATGTCGCACCCTTCTTCTAGCCTCTGGGAAATTCAGAAATGGCCTGAAAATTTTGGAAACAGTCTCACAAAAGAACAGGATTCCCAGGGTGGATTTTCCTTCAAGAGCTCCTTTGTAGGAATAAGCTAGCACTTCTCTGGTTGGAGAACTTAGATAGCCCTGAGACTTTTTCAACTGGAAAGACATGGCTCTGCATACTAGCTAACTCACCACCAGAGCTTTTTAGGTGCTGGGCTTTAAGTACTGTGACCATTCTCATGTTGCAGGTGAAAAAACTGAAGCACAGAGGTGAAGTAATTTACCCAAGATAGATAGCTAGGAAAATGGCAGAGGTGTGGTTCCCACTGGGTATCTTGACTCCAGAATGCTACTACATATACCACCTGAGTTGGCCCATCCCCTATGTAAAAATGCAGAGCAGAAGGGCCAGGTCTGAGGTGTGGCCTTCAGAAAAATAGAGAAAGCCATTACTTTGTGATACTGATCATGTGGCAGTCTCCAAGATGGGTCCTTTATTTGCATTCCATTATTGCATCTTCAAACAACCCTATAAGGTGGGTACCATTAGTACCATTTTATGAATAAGGAAATAGAGACACAGAGAGGTAGAGTGGCCTCCCAAATCCATGCAACTAGTAAGTGGCAAAGCTGGAACTGTAGACTAAGTCTGCCTAACCAGTAGTACTTGAACTAAGGGCTGGAAGGCTGGGATGTCTAATTAGGGTAGAAAGACTTGGCTTGCTAGGAAGAGTCGGAATGGAAAAAACAAGAGGGAAAGATGCAAAACCCAGGCAGGACCTCTGCACTTGAACTCAGACACAGAAATGCCCCCTGGAGAGCATCCAGGCTCTTGAGCCTCTCTAGCAAAGGAGAGCAAGATTTTCCAGAGCCTCAAAGAGGAAGTCAGCTTAGGCTCTTTTCAGTTTTTCAACAGTGCAGCAATGGAGTAAGGAACCAGGCTACAACAATGCCCCCCTTATGCCCATTCCCAGGAGACAATAGAGGCCAGGACATGGTGATGCTAAAAGGAAAGAAGAATGGAAGGGCAGGGCTGGGGATTAAGAGGGTAGGGGCAGAGGCTAAACTAGAGGTCCTGTGGATAGGGCTTCTAGAAAGGGTGGAACCAGTCTTTTTATGGGCAGGTGACTAAGGGCCTCTAAGCTAACCTGAGCAGGATCCAGTTTGAAGGGTAAAGCACTTAGGAATAGCAGAGGGACCAGATTCCTGAATGACCTGTTTATGAGGGCCACTTCCATCTCCTGAGGGGTCACAGGCAGGCAGGGCAGGAGCAGAGGACAAAGAGAACAGTATAGAACCTCTGAGGATCAGGAAAGATGAGTTAGAGCTCACCCTGCTTTTGTGCCTGGGACCTTAGAGTCTTCCCTGTGGATCCAGTGGGGAGGTAGAATACATAAGGCACTCCGGGCTCCAACCTGGCTTAAGTGGGAAAGCTTTAACCCTAGGG